ACCGGCCAGGCCCCTCAGATGTTCGTTTTTCCCACCCTCGGGAAAATCCGGCGCGGTTTTGTGGTGCCCGCCCCCCAGATCTTCTCACGTGACCTGGGAAAGGAGCTTCGCACCACGCGGCGGGCAAGCGGGGACGTTTCAACTACCACAATTAACACGCGGAAAGGTATAAAAAGGGGATTCCCCCCACCCCCCGTTCCTCGGGAGAGCAGCACGTGGGCGCTCCAGAGGTTGCCGGAGCGGTTGGAGACTAGGAGGAGGTGGTTTTTCTGGGGATGAGGCCGTTGGCCAGGTCCCAGCGCACTTCCCAGCGCAGGGCCGCTCTCTTCTTTTCCGTCGGCACGGCGTAAGCGTTGGGGACGTAGGGGCGCGGCGGCTTGCCGGGGAGCTGCGGCCTGCAGAGCATCTGCTCCCGGATGGCCCAGCGCAGTTCTTGCCGCTGATCCTCCCCCGGGATGCTGAATTTCTCCCATTCTCGTTTGTATTCTAAATATTTGGCCACTCGGTCGGTTTTCCTCCAGTTATGGCCCAGGGGCTCGAACCGTGGCGGGATGAAGGATTTGGGTTGTCCCGCTGCGATGGCGGACGGAGAAGCGGGAGGGCTCGGCCTCCTGAAATCCCCGAGGAGAAAGGGGGGACTGTCCCCAGGGGATTCACCGAGGGAGCTGGCGCTCGTCTCGATTTCCCCCTCAGAGATGCTGTCCTCCGGAGCGCTCCTCAGCGGAAGCATTTTCCGCCCCAGGCTCCAAACCTCGGGGTCGCTCTCCGGCTCGCTGGTCGCCAGCTCATTGGAGACCTCCACTCCTCCGTCGGGTCTGTGCCGCAGCACCTTCCTTTTCATTACCAACCTCCTGCTTCCCCTTCCATCCTCGGAAAACCTAGGAAGGGCTGGACGCACCCCCAGAGCGACGGAGGCCTCGGTGTAGGGATCGTCACGGGGACGCGCCGGCTCCTCGCCGCCTCCTCGCCGGGCGTGCAGGGCCAGCGTGGCTCCCAGCTCCTTGTTCGCAGCGGCCCATCGATCCCTGTCCTCTCCCGTCACGTCTTCCATGATTTCCTCCCAGCTGGGCGTGATCCTGCAAAAACAAACCACAGTTGGATCTCCTGCAGCCGGCTGAAGGCGAAAAGGGGGTTCTGGCTCCCCGCTCCTTGGGGTCGGGGTGTCAA